CTGACTGAAAACAGCTAACACTTGTCACAGAGTAAGGAAGGCTATGAGTGTGTGTGTGTGTGTGTGTGTGTGTGTGTGTGTGTGTGTGTGTGTGTGTGTGTGTGTTTGTGCTCACTGGGCACCAGCAGAATCCAGAAAGGGTCTATTGACTAGAAAGGTTTACAGTGGGTCCTGAGATTTACCTCACAGGGCAAAGTAGGAAAAGCTTCAGGAAGAGAGAGAGAGAGTATGTGAAGTACACACAGGTGAGAACCAGAGAGGGGACACTTAGAAATTTAAAAGTAGTCAACAGAGCTGGGGCAGACGGCACCTGCAGAGTGGCAGGAGTGAACATGGGTGATATTGAGGTAATCATTGGCTTGCCCAAAAAGACACTTCTTGCTTGGTTGAATGTTGTCATTTAGGTATCAGAAAGCCACTGAAGACTGTAAACAAGTAACTAATGGGATCTGATTTCAGTGAGCAAGGTGAGCTGAAGGCAGGGAGTCATAAGAGTGAATGAAGCCAGCCTAATGGCCCAGTTGAATGAATGATGATGTCTACTCTAACTAAGGGAGTGGCAAAGAGGATGGAGAGGATGGGTGCAGTTGAAAATGGTTTAGAATACTGAAGACTGGGCTGTGTGATGGATCAGTGGATAATGTGCCTGCACTGCAAGTGTGAGGACCATGCCAGGTGGTGGTGGTGCATGTTTTTAATCCCAGCATTTGGGAGGCAGAAGCAGGCAGATATGGTGAGTTAAGAGGCCAGCCTGTTCTATGAAGTGAGTTTTAGGATAGCTAAGGCTGTTACACAAAGAAACCCTGTCTCAAATATAACAAGCAAGTGTGGGAACCAGAGTTCAGATATTCAGGACTCACATACAAATCAGGTTGGCCGGTCTGTAACCAGTGCCCAAGGGGCAAAGACAGCGATCCGCAGAGCAAGGTGGCTAGAGTAGCTGAACTTGTGAGCTCTGGGTTTAGCAAGAGACCCTGCTTCAACAAAGTAGAGACAGATTGAGGAAGACACTTGGCATCAGATACTGCATCATATTATAACTTGGAGTTCCCCCACATTTATTATAAATGTTAAACACTTGAAATATTTGGTGAATTGCGTCAGTATGCTAACTTCTCATGGAAGCATAGCAATGGTGAAGAGCTAGCAGATGGAAGGAGAATGGCAAACCTGTGTAAATAAAGCCCATTGGAGCCAGGTGGTGGTGGTGCATGCCTTTAATCCCTATCTTGGGAGGCAGAGGTAGGTAGATCTCTGTGAGTTCAAGGCCAGCCTGTTGAGTTATTGTTTTTGGTCTTTTAGCATTTTGAAAGGCCCACCACCAAGCTCCCAAATAAATCACACACAGAGGCTTATTCTTAGTTATGAATGTCTGGCCTTAGCTTGGCTTGTTTCTAGCTAGCTTTTCTTAAATTAACTTGTCTATGTTTGCCTCTGGGCTTTTCCTGTTTTCTTCTGTAAATCTTACTCTTACTCTGTGGGTGGCTGGGTGGCTGGGTGGCTGGGTGGCTGGGTGGCTGGGTGGCTGGTTTACTGAACACTGATGTCCCCCTCTCCTTGTTCCCCAGCTCTCCTTTTCCTTGGTTCTCCTTCTATTTATACTCTCTCCCTGCCAGCCCCACCTATCCTTGCTCCTGCCTCTCTATTGGCCATTCAGCTCTTTATTAGACCACCAGGTGTTTTAAATAGGTAAAGAATCACAGCTTCACAGAGTTAAACAAATGCAACACAAACAAAAGTCACACACCTGAAAATAATACCCTACCACATCAGCCTGGTCTAAAGAGTTAGTTCCAGAATAGCTAGGACTGTTACACAGAGAAACCCTGCCTCAAAAAACCAAAAAGGAAAAAAAAAAAAAAGCCCATTGTTTTTAAGAAGGTAACCCCCTCACCCCTTAAGGTGGAAGAGAAGACGAAGAAGGAAGAAATTATGGAGTTATTTGTTATGGATACTTAATAATTTGAACCCTTCATAAAAATTTGCAGATATCTGGATTCTCCTGAAAACTAAAAAGCAGAAAGCCCAGCAACTTCAGATCTTCGGTCAAAAGAGCAATGGCCATTGGAATTGGGTAGCAGCAGCCATTGTCCTTTCTCAGGCACACCTCAGGACCCTGCAGCCCCACTCAGCACCTGCCTTGGTACCACCATCTCTCCTTCCCACGCGTCAGCTTCTCAGCTGCACTTCCCATGCTGCAGTCAGACCATTGTCTCCACAACTGGAGTCAAGATTATGACACTCTCTATAAAGCCCTGGGTTTCCTAAGGCTGCCTTCCCTAAAACAGGCTCCAAGACTGGGGGTTACCTCACCATGCTAGCACTCCTGGTTAATCTGGGGATCACTATCCATCAGTCCACATCTCCATCATAGAGGGGTCCCCTCAGCCTCTCTAGCACAAATGTTACATCTCATTAGGCTAACACATGCCTTATCCCCTGGGCTTCTCCTTCACCCCCCAGTCATAATTTAGTGTTCTTATTCAGAGGGGCCATGCCATAAAAAACAAAAACAAAAACAAAAACAAACAAACAAACAAAAAACCCGACTGGATTCTTTCCTAATATTAGCCACACATATATAATAAGGGCTTATTTTCCAATTCCTTCTCTCACTGAATCATAACAACAATGTTTGACTGGGCAGTGGTGGCACATGCCTTTAATCACAGCACTCAGGAGGCAGAGGCAGGCGGGTCTCCGTGTGTTCGAGGCCAGCCTGGTCTACAGATTGAGTTCCAGGACAGGCTCCAAAGCTACAGAGAAACCCTATCTCAAGAAAACCAAACCAACCAACCAACCAAAGAGGCACTCACTCCAATAGCACTTGTCCCACCCTCCTCTAGTTCTGGCTGGGAAGGGAAGCCTTTGTTAAAGCCATGAAGTTAGCAGTAGGGTTCTAGTAAAGGGAGATTAGGATCCCCACTGCCACCTATTGTTGAGCATTCTCAGTGCATGGAGGAAAGAGGCCACTGAGATCAGTACTGTTCTGGGAGCCTGAGACAGGAGAAGGGAGAAAGCAGGAGAAACCCCTTCTGCAGAGACTGTGAATCCGGGAGGTGGCATTTTAGCTCCTGCAATGACAACTCACCCAACAAACTGTACAAAATGTTGGTTCAGGGTAACAGCGAGTGGCAATCAACACCAAACACTGAAAGGAAGAAAAGATTCGACCAAGGAAGAAGAATGCCCAGTGGATGGAGAAGGATGCCCATTAGCTGGACTGATAGCCTGTAGAAATAGCCAAACTGGGACTTAATTATTCATGATTTGCCTCCTCGATGCTCAATATTGCTTCCAACGGAAACACTTCTCACATTAGACACCATTACTACCTCTGTCCATTTCAGAAAGCTGAATTGACCTTTGACATGCTAATGACAATGCCTGCTCTGAGTAAGTGGCTTCTGTTTTCATGCCAATAACACTGTACCAAAGTTCTTCAAAGCAGGTGTGTTGCAAGTAGGTCAAACAGCAGTCTGTCGTCGTCTCTTCTTGTCTGCTAGCGTTTTCTGGGTAATCTGGCCAAATTTGAACACTGAAATGATGTTGTGTTATGAACTCAAGATTCATTTATTTTCAATGGTAACCATTTTTGTCATGTGCTCTATATTTATTTTAGAAAAATCACAAGTATTAATCAACTCAAAATTTATAAAAAAAACTGTGATTCTCTAATTAGAAGATAAATCTTCTAGGGCTGGGGTATAGTTCAGTTGGCACAGTGCTCACACAGTAGACACAAAGCCCCCTGGCTTTAGTCCCTGGCCCGGTAAAAAAAGTAGATGTTAGTACCACACACCTGTAATCTTAGCACTTGAGAGATGGAGGCAAGAGGTAAGAGCTTCAAGGTTATCTCTAATCATATAGTGAGTTCAAGGCCATCTTAGGAGACATGAGACCCTGTCTTAAAAAAAAAAAAGAAGAGAACTCTTTTCTACTTTTTAATAAAATGTCTCACCGTATTTTTCTATACTAGTGAACATTTGTAGTTCCCTTATGTCTCTTACAGATTTAATGTCTTCTCACATCAATAAATACGGATGAACCTCATTTTAGGACATACTGTTATAAACAAAGATGAACTGCACTTTAACCATCTCTTGCTGTCTCCTTGCTATTTGCTGTAATACACGCACCCTTGTACACATATCAGGTTATTTCTTTGAGATTAATTGCTAAAAGTGAAATGGATGGATTAAAGTATGTATCATCTTCAAGATTTCAACACATTGTACTAAACTGCTATCCAAATTTATTGCACCAAGCAGTCCTCCCTCCAACTGTACAGGGATGGGCCAATTTCTTCATGCATAGCATAGACAGAGTATGTCTGTGTGTCTTAGATTTTATATGTCAGGCACAGATAGAGTAAAATAAACATAGTCCTCGCATGGAGAGTGAGGATAATAGGGAAGTCAGTATGCATAGGCTAGTGAACTGAGCCATGGCTGCTCGGAACACCCAGAGCCTGGGTGTCACGGTCATCTTAAGCAGGTGCCACAGAAGAGTCACCAGGGATGAACTGAGTCAAGAACAGGAACAGAGTGACAGAATGATCTGGATAAAGAAATGGTCCTGAGCATGAATGTTTGTTGTTTCAAGAACACCAGGCTGAAGTGGGTTGGTTGGAGAAGCTGGGCAGGAGACACAGGCTAATACTGAAGACAGAAGCCCCTGCCAATGAAGACATGCTCTCTGGGCTAAGTCTAGGACTTTTATCTTCACTTGGGAAACCAGGTGAAAATGATGAGTGAGAACTCCTTTGGGGGCCTGGAGTTGGCATCCAAACCTGTGTGTGGATATTGATACTGAACTTGAGAATTATTTTTTTCATTTCTGTTGATTTGGGAACCATGGGACCTCTATGTCTGATAGGACAAAGGAGACCATCCAGAACCCAGCCAATTTTTTTTTTTTTTTGCCAGTTTTAAATACACATTTTCTCATTAAAAAATAACAACCACAAAATCTTTAACTATTTCCCTTTTTCTTTCCAGAAAAGGTGGCCATTAAGATTCTGGACAAGACCAAGTTAGACCAGAAAACCCAAAGGCTGCTATCCAGAGAGATTTCCAGCATGGAAAAGCTACACCACCCCAACATCATCCGCCTTTACGAAGTCGTGGAGACCCTGTCCAAGCTCCACTTGGTGATGGAGTATGCAGGAGGGGGGGAACTCTTTGGGAAAATTAGCACTGAGGGGAAGCTCTCTGAACCGGAAAGCAAGCTCATCTTCTCCCAGATCGTGTCCGCCGTGAAGCACATGGTAAGCAGGGGCTCCCGCTGCTCCGTCTGCTGTGGGATCGTGTAGCTTTGGTTTGTTATCAGGTAGACATCGCAGAGAAGGTCGGTTCTGCAATAGCAGACAGTTGGGCCAAGAGTCAGAAGTTCAACCAGGCGGTGGTGGTACACGCCTTTAATCCCAGTCTTTGGGAGGCAAAGGCAGTCGATTCTCAGTGAGTTTGAGGCCAACCTGGTCTACAAAGTGAGTTCTAGGACAGCCAGAACTGTTACACAGAGAAACCCTGACTCAAGGGGGAAAAAAAAAGCTTGGCTGGGACCATGGTCCTTGCCTCACAAGCAACATTCAGGATCTTGGTACACAGCAGGGGCATGGCTTCTTCAGAAGTTATAGGAGCCACCCAGAGAAGCCAGATGGTCATCCTTCACTCTTTGCCCATCATTTCTCCAAACCCACGTTCCACCTCCCGATAGCTTGTCATCTCTCCTCAGCCGTCCTTTCCTATATGAGATGCCTTTATACCTCATCTTATGTTTCACATTTTAGTCCTATCCACCCTTCATGACCAGCCAGTTCCCCTCTCTCTTAAATTTGTTTCAGTCTCAGGCCAGCTGACACCAAACTTTCTCATCTTCAGTGACTGACATCCCACTCTACCCCCTGCCCAGTTCTTACTGCCTCTGTGCCCCACGTATTAACTAACGCTCAATTAAGTCATTCTTTAGTTCTCAAATTATTTCTTTACAAAGCTGTATTTTGTGACACACACTGCCTGACTCTTCCAAGACTGTTTCTTCTGTGTGCTCCCTGGAGCCAGCCATTCTGCTGGGCACACAGAGGGAACTTGACTTGTGCACAGATACCAAGTAGGAGAGCAGCAGGGACTCCAGCAGATAGTACAGATAGGGGTCCACAGATGCCCCGTGTCCTGCCATATCTCGCTGCAGTCTGGCCTCTGAAAAGAGAAAGGCTGAATTGCAGTCATAGATGTCACTGAATTTGTTTATGTGCAAGGACCATGCTGAGCACTGCCCACACAGTGTTGTATATAGTTCTCATAGCAGCCTTATGAGTTAAGTGTCAGCATCTCATTTTATGAAGAAGTGATGTTCATATTACATGCTGATGGCATTGAATGTGAATTGGACCAGCTCCAGCTTATAAATCCTGTGTTGTTACCCCATAGGGCTCCCTGGGACAAATGGCATTAAACCTTTACCCAAGCCTTTTAAACTAAATAGGTCAAAGTTCCCAAGACTATTGCCTGAATTTAGAGTGTAAGGGCAGGAAAGGACACGTACTCACAACACATAACAAGAAACCTGTTGCAAGAAGCCTGCCAAATTCAACCTTCTCCTTTTGCTAAGTTATATAAGCCCACCCAGAAGAGGATGGTCAGGAGGTTAGAGCAGGCCCCAAGACTTTGTGCTCATGGTTTCCGTCAAGGGAAAACAGAAAAAAATCAGGTAAGATCTCAAAAAGGAAGGCTTGTTATTTGATTGTGTCTCAGAATTGTGCCGTTGCATAAGATCTGGGTCTTTTTTTTTTTTTTTTTCTGGCATGAATTCCAGAGTCTGTGTGGCACAAATTCCAATCCTCACCCCACAGAAGACACATCAAGCCTTTGATTATACTGGGTTAAAGGTTGTGGTAGAGTTTGCTAATATGATTTAAATGGTTTCTATTGGACTCCTCTGGTTATGCCACAGAGAAACTGGATATATTTTCTAATTGTCATTTAGCTTAAAATTGACATGTTCCCCCATGTTTTCTTCACAGCATGAAAACCAAATTATTCACAGAGATCTGAAAGCAGAAAATGTATTTTATACCAGTAGCACATGTGTGAAGGTGGGAGATTTTGGATTCAGCACCGTAAGTAAAAAAGGTGAAATGCTGAACACCTTCTGTGGGTCTCCACCCTATGCTGCACCTGAACTTTTCCGAGATGAACACTACATTGGTGTCTATGTGGATATCTGGGCTTTGGGGGTCCTTTTGTACTTCATGGTGACTGGTACAATGCCATTTCGAGCAGAAACAGTGGCCAAACTAAAGAAGAGCATCCTTGAGGGTACCTACAGCATACCCCAGCATGTTTCAGAGCCCTGCCACCGGCTCATCCGAGGAGTCCTTCAGCCAATCCCTACAGAGAGGTATGGGATCAGCTACATCATGAATAATGAGTGGATGAGAGGGGTCCCATATCCCACCCCTTTGCAACCTTTCCAACTGGATCCTAAACATTTGTCAGAAGCCAGCAGCCTCGAAGAAGAGGAAAATGAGGTGAAAAGCACTTTAGAACACTTGGGGATTACAGATGAGCATATCCGAAATAACCCAGGGAGAGACGCTCGCAGCTCCATCACGGGTGTCTACAGAATCATTTTACATCGAGTGCAAAGAAAAAAGGCTCTGGAAAGTGTGCCAATAATGATACTCCCAGAACCCAAAGAAAGGGACCTAAAGAAAGGATCCCGCATCTACAGAGGCATAAGACACACATCTAAATTCTGTTCGATTTTATAAGTCATATCAGGCAGCTGGGAACTAACCAGGGACAAAGTCTCTGCTTTTAACTTTTCTCATAGACAATTTGGATGGAAACATTTTTGTAATTTTTAAATAAAATTTAAATTTGACATATACATAGCACCCCCACCCCAACCAAAGTCTCTTAGCCTAGATTCTGGCTTGACTTGGGATTTTTGTCTTCTTGTCATACTTTTTATTTGATTGAGAAATGTATGTATTTAGTGCTGTGTGCCAGGCAATGCTTAAGGTGCTGAGGAAACAGCAAAGCCAGCCCCTTCTCTTGTGTGTAGGAAATTCTTAATACATTACATAGATATTTGCTAGCAACTATTTTTATGTTTTTAAAAGAAAAATGACAAATAGTTGGAGATGCCATGCAGGCTCCCCACAGGACTACCTAATTTTAGAAGCATGCTACTTTGGATTAGACCTTTAAGGAGGGCCACTTGGAGTGGACAAACAGTGTGAGAGCAGAAGGAGTGGCCAAAGTGATGAGATTCCTCTAAACAGAGCCAATGACAAAGGCTCTAGTGTAATTTAATGGGGAAGTGATCCTACAATAGAATAATGGGGACAGCAGAGCAGTAAGAGCCAACACAAAGATGTTTATCAAAGTTGGCCAGTGGCACAGGTGACTGCCATTAAGTCCCAAGGATCTTGAAAACCACTGTGTACACAACATCTCAAGGGTCTGCCCAAGGTATGAAAGAGGAAAGATTTATTAGCCTCCATTCACCATTGGACAAGGGTAGTCAGTGGTGTCCTCCGGATTTCTAGATAATGCTGTGTAATCACCAAGTGTTGTTTTTTTTTTTTTGAGATTTATTTTATTATGTATACAGTGTCCTGTCTGTATATATTTCTGCAGGCCAGAAGAGGACACCAGATCTCATTACAGATGGTTGTGAGCCGTCATGTGGTTTCTGGGAATTGAACTCAGGACCTTTGGAAGACCAGCTAGTGTTCTTAACCACTGAGCCATCTCTCCGGCCCCCAAAGTGGTTTCTTTGTACTTCTTGGGCCTTTGCATTAAAACAGCCTTAGACAGGAAGGAAAAGGTCACAGCATGGGTTTGAGGCAGCATACTGCCAAACAGGACCTGTACAAACCTTCCAAACTTGCATGGAAATGGTTATTACATCGGTGACTGGAGGAAGCAGTATGGCAGGGAGGACCTGAAGGGATGCATGGAAACTAACCCAGCCTATCTGGATGCTCTGTTCCACATAAATCCCTCTGTTCCTTGCAGGTGGAAGGACTCAGCACAGCAGGTTATCAGAACTGTAACACTGGCTCTCAAACTCTAGCCATGAGAACTACTTATTTAGTTTTACCAGACCAGCAGATCCCACCTCTAGGCCTTTAGATTCAGTGAATCCTTGGGTGGGCTGAGTCTTAACAATCAGTGACTTGAAGGTTTTGTATTCTTTCCAACAACCTTGGCTCAAGTGGATGAGCCATTTGGGTTCCCAAGGGGCAAGAAGGATGTTTTCACTACAACTCCAATAAGGGTGCTTGTGAATTGAAATCTATGACTAACATGGACTGTAGTTGGTTGTGTTTTTTGGGGGTTTGTTTTTGTTTTGTTTTGTTTTGTTTTGTTTTTAAGACACGGTTTCTCTCTGTAGCTTTGTAAACCAGGCTGGCCTCAAATTCACAGAGATCCATCTGCATCTGCCTCCCAAGTGCTGGGATTAAAGGCGTGTGCCACCACTGCCCGGCCTGTAGTTAGTTCCTAACACAGTGTTATGAGGTATGACATCTTAAACAACTTCCCAGGTGATGCTGATGCTGTTAGTTAGGGGCCAGGCTTTGAGGCTCTCTGAGCTGCTGTCATTACTGCAACTCTGGAGGCTCTAACTCGACTCTCATTTGCTTCTTCCACTAGCTACTCTGACTTTTCCTCACCCTTGAACCTCATTTCAACTGGTTTATGCTGAGTAGCATGACCCAAACTGTCATCAGGAAACCAGTCGAGTCCTCGATTGCTTTATTCTTGATAGATCATAATTCATGTCATTGCCTGCTTGCTGTCATCATCGGCTCCAAGAGTAACACACCAGTATCTCTTGGGTTCCTGACACCTTCTTTAGTTTCTTATTATACTTAGGGTCAATCACATCAGTATAACACTTCCATTCTTACCCTGCTTGCCCACTGGCACAGGCAGCCTCAATGACCATGTTACTCATAGATTCCAACTCAAAAGAGCATTTACTGGGGTTCCCAGTGAAAATGTCCTCCTTGCTCCCTGGGAACCCAACTGCTCATCTACTTCAGCCTAGGTTGTTAGAAGGAATACAAAAACCTTCAAGTCACTGATTGCGAAATAAGTCTATCTTACTTCCAGCTTTGGGGTCCCACACCTGTGAATTTAAACAGCAAGGGACATATAAGCCATTATTAAAACATGCACAGATTGCTGGAGAACAGCACACCAGACCTGCAGGTTACTAATATATCTGGGCCTTAGGCCACTCATGTTCATTTTTACTGGTTGTTTGCAGCACTGAGGGCTATGGTAATGCAAGGGGACTCTAGTCCTTGACAGTGTTATCAGATATGACAATGAATCAAGTTTTCTCTAGGACAGTGGTTCTCAAACTGTGGGTCATGACTCCTTGGAGGGGGAGTCCAATGACCCTTTCACAAGGGTGGCCTAACACCATCAGAAAGTATATTTACATTTATGATTCATAAAAGTAGCAAAATTATAGTTATGAAGTAGCAACAAAAATAATTTTATGGCTGGGGTTCACCACAGGATGAGGAATTATATTAAAGGGTCCAGCATTAGGAAGGCTGAGAACCACTGCTCTTGGATCTGGCATGATTATTTGGGTGACACACTGCAGGCAGGAAATGCATACCCATAGGTGGAATAGGTATCAATTCCAATAAGGATGGATTGCTGCTATGACTCTATGGATCTGGTAATGCCCAGATCACAACCTGGTGGTTCTGCTTGCTTGCCACCCAGTGCATTTTGGATAGCCTTAATGAAGGCACTGTCCTTGGGATGTTGGATGGGTTTGTTCAGTCATGCATAATGAATCAAACATTTACATCTGGAGTTTCTCAGCATTTAGTACTGTGCTAGGGTGCTTCCACCATGGCCACCTCATAGCCATGTTGTAGAATGCTAAGACCAGCTTAGATGCCCTCTCCCAAAGTCCTAGGTAAATGGTCTCATGATAAACTCTCCATAGCCCATCTTCTAATGCCCCCTCCACCTTTTCTGACACACATAGGATCCACTTGCATATTTGCCCAAATTGACAGTATTAGCCAGCTTCTGCAATTCCATCAGTGCCTACCATTTCCACACAGACAAGGGATTGTTACTTTTGGGGGGGGAGGGAGGGGTGAGACAAGGTTTCTCTGTGGCTTTGGAAGCTGTTCTGGAACCAGCTCTTGTAGACCAGGCTGGTCTCAAACTCACAGAGATCCACCGGCCTCTGCCTCCCGAGTGCTGGGATTAAAGACATGAGCCACCACTGTCCAGTGGGGTTGTACTTTTTTTTTTTTTTTACTTTGGCTGTGTTGAGACTTCACTTTGGTTCTTGGTTTGGCAAAAATGGAAACATCAAGGCAGGATCTGGAGGCCAAATGTCATTACACAGGCATCTGTCCTAGAAGTGCTGGCAGTGACTCTGGACAAGGAGCTGTCCTTGTCCACCAGAGGAAGCCTGCTTTGCAACCTTTCCACCCTTACCTACTGCACTGACTTCACTTGAAGATCCCTCTGTCTTCCTATTAAATCCTAACTTTCCTAAAGGAGAACAGTGACCACTCAGGATTCTCCAATCTCAGATGCTGTAGTTTCTTCCTTCTGCAGCAAGAGATGAGGTTCCCCTTATACCTTCTTTTAAAGACTGACTTTTAGTATGCCTTTAATGGATGATTGACTGACTTGGGGCTATCATTGTGTTGTTTCCCAGGCTTTCTAAGTAAGTAGTCTTTATCTTGGGCCCCCATCTTGTTCAGGTAACCACAGGATTCAATGCTTTGTCTTCCTGCTATACCTCCAGATGACAGGTCTTAGTAGTGATGGCTGATTCTACATGTCACATGTTTCCATAACCCTGCTTGCCAACACTACATTCATGTTCTCAGTGTTGCAACAATCCCTTTGCCTGGGAGATTCTAGCCAGCCTCTTATTTCTCATGGACAAATATGTGGGGACAAGATGCCACAGGAATCCACAAGCCTCAACGCTGGTGAAGAGTGCCTGTTCCTGATAAGTGAACTCTCGACTCTAAACACAGAGTGCTGGGACACTGGCCCAAAAAATAAAACAAATTATTAATATGTACCAAATCTAGATCCAAAATCATGAGTTGTTCCAAATTAGAAAATAATCTTCCATGTCTCCTAATGGGTGAACTCCTAAAATGGGTGACAGGACCACACATGGGCTACATCTTATTTCTGGCATAAGCAGAGTACGTGGCTTATACCAGGTTTAGAAATGTTTTGAAGAATGAGTGAAAAATGTGAAGGCTCACATTTAAAAATAGCTATTTGCTGACTCCGTGACCAAATTACTGGCTCAGAAAAAGGAAAGAACACTCACATATCTGAAATATTTGTCTAAAACTTTATTTAAAAGTTATCCACCTTGCTATTAGTAAGGTGTATGGTTAACGCTCCGTGCCAGGATCGCCAGGCTTGCCCACTGCTGGCAATGGACTCTGAGAAAATCCACTTCTTGGCACCAGAACATTACTCTTTTCAAAACATACAGAACTCTCAATACTTGCAAAAGAATTACATGCACCATTTCCCCACCATTCTTTAAATCTGAACTTACATTATTCATCTATAGCAGTGGATGTTAAAATGAAACCATTTTAACCAATTAAAACTGTACAAATCAAAATTCTACTGGTTAATATTGACAAGAATATCTTACAAATGCTACATTACATATTACCTTGCAATCTGAAACTTTTACACATTTATGTGTTTAGTTTAGATAACTGAAACTTCACAGAATGGAACAGCAAATAAAGTTAAAAAAATTTAGTTCTGTACATTAGTTCCAACTATCTCTATTTTACAGTCTGTGAGGGTCATGTCATTGTTCAGCACCAAAACCACCCAGAGAAC